GTCACTCACGCCCTCGTCACCTCAAGACTGGATTACTGTAATGTGCTCTACATGGGGCTGCCCCTGAAAAGTGTTCGGAGACTACAATTAGTCCAGAATGCAGCCGCGCGAGCAATATTGAGTGTACCTAGGTACACCCACGTTGCACCTATCCTCCGCGAGCTGCACTGGCTTCCTATTGGTCTCCGAGCATGATTCAAGGTGCTGGTTATCACCTTTAAAGCCCTACATGGCCTAGGACCCGGATATCTTCGAGACCATCTTCCGCCACACACCTTCCTAAGACCGATAAGATCGCACAGGATGGGCCTTCTCCAGGTGCCATCAGCTGGACAATGCCGACTGGCGATGCCTCGGAGTAGGGCCTTTTCTGTTGCCACTCTGGTCCTATGGAATGAGCTACCGCCAGAGATCCGGACCTACCCACTCTCATGGCCTTCCGAAAAGCTATCAAAACCTGGCTTTTCCGGCAGGCCTGGGGCTGTTGACCTCTTGATTGAGGTCCAGCCCCACTTAGATTGGGTACATGTTGTGTCTTTTTAAGGTCATATGATGTACCGTGATGATTTTTGCCTTTGCAAAGCTGGAGTGGGCGTGGCCTGTGTGTGATACATCCAACCTTTGAGTGCCAGTTTAACAGACCTCACCTATATACATTTGGTGAATGTTTAGATGCATTCAGAACTTTATTTTGCCTCCTGCACTGTATAGAGGTATGTAGGAAGTTAGCACCTCCCCCTCTCCTAGAAAAATGAAATAATCTAGGAAATATTAAAAAGGCAGAATATTATATTTCCCTGGACTCTTAATAGCCCCCACCATCCTCAATAGCCCACAGCAGATGTCCACACTTAAGAGATAAAGAGTTAGCTAGATTTATTCATAAGCAAATACCCTTACCCAAGATCCAACAAATGTAGGATAGCCCTCTACCCAGTGGGGGGTTCCGCTGGTACACACCACTACAGGCATACCGGTGACAGAAATTTGCCATACTTTTGTGTACTCATTCCACGGTGGTGTGGCCACGCCCCCATACCGGTATGCTCTCCTGCTCTGTCCCAGTTTGCAAGGTGCTTCTCAAAGAGAAGGAAGCGAGGGTGGGGCTTCTTCAGAGGATCCGAGACAAGAGCAGCGTTGAAGCCCTCTCTGAAGCAGCTGGAAAAGATATAAGGGTCAGAGGGGGGAGGAGGAATTCAAACTTCATCCTCCTGGTACAGTGTGGGGCTTTGGGCAAAGGCTGGAGGGAAGGACACTGGTTCGTTCGTGCTCTCCCTCCCCAAGTGTAGTTTGATTGCAGGCAGAGCCATGTTGTTTTTTCAAACCTGTAATCAGTGAAGCTGGGCTGGATTTTTGCATAGCTTTATCCTGCTGTCGGGGGAAGGGGAATGACCGTTCCCAGGCCCCCATCCATTTCTCTCTCTCTCACATGCACACATCTGGATAAAATTATGTAAAAATCCAGCCCAGCTTCACTGATTACAGGTTTGAAAAGGCAACGTGGCTCTGCCTGCAATCAAACTACACTTGGAGAGGGAGAGCACTGAGGAGACCACAGGAGGAGGCAGGAAGTCAGGCAAAGAGTCATACTATAGCACACACACTTTCCCCCAGCCCCGTTCTCTGCCTCTCCTCTCACCCCAGCCTGCCAGCAGGAGGTTAGTGGGTGGGCTTTATTGCATTCCAGGCATTTCCCACCTGGACAGCACACTGCATTTGCAATGGAGAAGATGTTTGGGGAAGGCAGCAGAGGAATGAGGGGGGGAATGGCAGAGGAGATGATTTCAAGCCATTGGGAGAGATATTCAATCCAACTTTTGTGTGTGTGTGTATGTGTTTGAGAGAGAGTGAGAGAGGAAAGGGGGTAGGAAAGATAATCCAATCCAACTTCTCTCTCTGTGTGTGTGTTTGAGAGAGGGGGGAGGGAGGGAGAAAGGGAGGAAGGAAGGGAGGGAGAAGAAAAATAAAAAGAAAGAAGGAAACTTCTTTTGCAAAGGAGAAAAACAAATGCTGTCNAAAAAATATTACAATACTATTTGTGCGTTGTATGAAAATTTTTGTTGCTCTGTATAAAATTTTTAATCAACCCCCTCCCCCGGTCAAAGGTGTCCCTCTTTACCAATCTGAAAATCTGGTCACCTTAGTCAAGTACAACAGCTATTAGAATTCTGGTTTCTTTTCATTGTTCAAAGCTCAAATGAGTCTCCTGTGTTCAAAAGACCATTTTAAAATAACTAATCTACATTTTTAGTGTGTTTGAATTATCTTTTTTGGGGAGGACTTTTCATTCCTTCAGGAAATAAAGTGACTCCACATGAAGCAAGGAGTTTTGGCTTATCTCCCAGTTTTTCCAAAGGTGCATTTCATTTCCGAATTGAATATGGATTTTATTTAGGCCTGTTTACATAAAACAAAAAGATGTGAAATAAGCACATGGAAGCAAGATGAGATAGATAAAGGTACATATTGTTTTACTCAGTGATTGGAGTATATATAACCTGTTGCTAGTAGAAATGTAGTAAATTTAGAAATATGTGATTATGGCTGAGATTTTGCAGGAGTCTTTTCTTTGTTAAAAATATCAGAACATAAACTTTATTGTACCGGTGACTAGTCCACAAAAACATTTCTGTACCTTTCACTTAGTTTTGACTTCTGGGGACTGTCTGGATTAGTCCTATTGGCTTTCTTGTCAAAATTTGACAGTGGTTTGCTACTGTCTTCTTCCTAGAGCTGTGAGAGGGTGACTGGCCCAAAGTCACCTAGATGGCTCTGTGTCTTAGGCGCAATTAGAACTCACAATCTCCTGGTTTCTAGCCGGACTTTTACACACTACCCCAAACGGGTCTTGGATTCATAAGAACCTTGGATACCCAAAATTAATATTGACTAGTTAGGTCAGAAGATTTGTTGATAAAGCTGCTGCCCACCTTACCAGAGGTGCGTTCCTACCAGTTTGCACCAGTTCGGTAGAACTGATTCGTCAAATCTACCGAACCAGTTAGAAGAGGTTCCACCAGTGGACTGGGAAAGCAGACCACACCTACAGAAGAGGTTCCAAATTTTTTTGAAACCCACACACACACAGACTCACAGAGAGAGAAAGAGAAAGAGAGGAAGAAATAAATAAAGAAAGAAAGAAAAAAGGAAAGAAAAGTGAGAGAGAGATGAAAGAAAAAAAGGAAAAAGGGACAGAGACAAAAGGAAGGAAAGAGAGAGAGAGAGAGGACACATGGCTGGCAAGCCACGCCCACCAGGTCACATGGCCATCAAGCCACTCCCACAAAGGAGGCCACACCCACAGAGTAGGTTCGAAATTTTTTTGAAACCCACCACTGCACCTTACATATTACATGACAGAAGTTGGCCATAGTTAAAGAGATGGAGATATTTGAATCTGATAGTAGGAGATTTAAATAGTGACCAGAATATTTAATTATATGTGGAATAAGCAAAATAAACAAGCAAAAATAGAAGGGAGGTGTGTTTGATACATTTACTGCCTTGAGTTATTTGTAATAATAAAGGCAAGATACAAATAAATAGTGTCGGCCATTAAATTTTAGTTGTATAATTTGGTGGTTATTTAATTTCCAGATATGTGTTTTATGCTGTTTTGCAATTTGTAGAGCTTCTGTTTTGCAATATTCAGCTGCGGCACATACCATGATAATTTCCTCAGAATGTCAGACTGAATTATCCCATTTTCTGAATTCTCATAACCATACAGAACCATATCATAACCAAACCCAAACAGATCACATAAAGCAATAAACTCCTTACCCTATCCAACTTGAGATCTAACAGGTCTTTTACTTTACTACTTTAAAGGTTTTGCCTGAAGACAGTTGTTGGTATGGATCCCTAGCAGACATTACAGGTAGTCTTCAATTTACAACAGTTCATTTAGTGACTATTCAAAGTTAGAATGGCACAGAAAAAAGTGACTTATGAACTGTGAACTTTTCACACTTTGACCATTGAAGCATCTCCATTGGCGCATGATATACGCTTGGATGCTTGACAAATGACTCATGTTTATGACGGTTGCAGTGTCCCAGGGTCACATGATCCCCTTTTGCACCCTTCCGACAAATTAAGACAATGGGGAAGCCAGATTCACTTAACAACCGTGTTACTAATTTAACCACTGCAGTGATTCAGTAAACAAATGTGGCAAGAAAAGATATAAAATGGGACAAAACTCACTTAACAAATTTCCCACTTAGCAATATCAATTTGAGGCTCAATTGTGGTCACAAGTCGAGGACTACCTGTACACTCTAGGCCAGTGTTTCTCAAAGAAACACTGCTCTAGGCAAATGCTTGCCAACCTTTGCTCTCTTAAGATGTGTGGAGTTCATCTCCCAGAATTTCCCAGGGTGGCTGGGAAATTCTGAGAATTGAAGTTCACACTTCTCAGAACAGCCACCATTCACAAGCAGGGCTCTAGGCAGACCTCAGGCACAGATCCTACAGGTGTGTCCTTGTTTCGAGACTTTTTACGCGCCTAGCCTCCACATCCTGCTCGCAACTATGAAAGGTTAAGGAACGCTTGGATGTTTGGTTCTCACTCCTGATTTTTAAAAAAGGGCTCGGGCTCCCGTCGGGTTAACCAGTGGGGCATGAGGGGAGTCTCTCTATGTATCGGTATGTTTTTTGGTGAAGGAGGAGGGATGAGAAGAGAGATAATGTAACTGCGAAGCTGATTGGCTTTCATCCCGATTCGCCTGAGAGCGGAGAGCAGCACCTCTGCGCCCTCGCCCTGAAATGGAGACCTGCAAATTCCCCAGCCAGGAGTGTTGCGGAGCGCTCCTCCTCCTCCTCCTCCTCCTTCCAGCCCGGGAGGAATCCTGCAAATAGTCGGACATCCAGGGAACTAAAGGGAGGCGCTTAATGCAACTGAAGTGAAGGATGTCTGCAGAAACCTTACACTTTCCCGTTCCTTTCCAAGGTCCCTGAGAAGGAGGGAGAAGAAAGAACTACTTCCTTGCCCCGGGGGTCCTTCTCGATCATTGATTCACCTCGTCCAGAAACCGAGAAAAGAGGGTTTCTCCCCCACTCCCTGCTCTTTTGTTCTCCTCCCCCTTCATCTGCGCCGTGCATTTATTTTAGGTAAGGCACTCAGGTTGCTTGATGAGGATGACTGAATTGTGAACTTTCTTTCCTTTCTCTCTCCCCCTTTCTCTCTTTTTCCTTGTGTGTGTTTTAAATTTGCCAGGTCATATTTAAGGGGGACTTTGGCAACTGTTTGCAAAGAAAGAGAAAAAGAATCCTGGGTTGCCTCTAGTTGGGAATAGGGACTCCAGGTGAGTAGAGAAAACTTTTGATTTGTGCTGGAAAAGAAGAATTATTAGTCTCAGTCTCTGTGTATCTTTCAAGAAATGTGGATGAATGCAGTAAGAGGTTAGAAATAAGAATAATGGCAAAACAGTATTATTTTCTTAAGTTGGGCATCTGGAGAGTATCTGATTTTTAAAAAATTGCTGACTCTGACCTTATTTAGAGTAAAAGATGTGAAAAATGCAATTAGCCGCCAAGGCAAGCTGGTTGGGTGTGTTTGTGTGCTTTCAGCATTGTTTAATTCTAACACCCATATCTAGTGTTGTCCCACTTGGCAATCTCCAAAATTCTGATAAAAACTAGAAATTTTGAGAGTTACACACCCAACACGTATAAAGAATACCCAATAGGCAAAGGATTCTTTATCTGTAAAGTAGAACTAAAACCTGTTAAAAAAAACTCAACAGTTTGCTAGAAGGCTTGTTTGTATTTTTAAAATGATGTTTGCATTTCTACCGGGCGCATAAGTGTTACAATTTAGTTGTATACATTATACAGGTGGCCCTTGACTCATGTCCACAATGGAACCAGAATTTTGGTTGCTAAGCAAGTTGGTTAACAAGTGAGATCAGAGGTGGATTGCCTTTTTTTTAACTACCGGTTTGGGCGCTCCTGCGTGCGTGAGTGATGCTTCTGTGCATGCGCAGAAGTTTCTGCACATGCACAGAAGCATCCGGGTGGATACGCAGAGCCTCCCGCTGCCGCTGCTACTGATTCGGCTGATCTGATTGAGAATCTCCACAGAGTGAGTCTCGCCCAATTGTATGATCCTGTTCCCCACATTTGTTAAAGCCAATCACTGCAGTTGTTAAGTAACTCATGCGATAGTTAAGTGAATCTGTCTTCCCCCCTGACTTTGCTTGTTCAAAGTCATCTGGGAAGGTTGCAAGTGGCAATCCTAGGTTGCTGCAGTGGTTGCAAATACCGTATTTTTCAGAGTATAAGACGGACCAAGGTTTTGAAGAGGCAAATAAAAAATTTTTTTGCACTTTGCAAACCTTCCCAAAACAGCCCGTTTTTTTTGTGAAAATGGGCCTGTTTCCCTCCTCCCCGCAGAAGGCATGGATAGCCTTTAGGGGGCTCGAAGAGTGCACCTGGGGGGCAAAAATGAGCAAACAATGGTCCATTTTTGTAAAAAAAAAGGGGGGGCATGGATAGTCTTTAGGAAGCTTATAGAGTGCTCCTGGGGGCTAGGGGGGCAAAATTTATACCCTCCCCAGCCCCCAGGAGCTCTCTAAAAGCTTCCTAGAGGCTCTACACAGCCATTTTGGTGAAGGGGGCGGGGCTTCGGGAGGAAAAAAAACCTGTATTCAGTGTATAAGATGCACCCAGATTTTCAGCCTTTTTTTAAAGGGAAAAAGGTGAATCTTATACTCTGAAAAATACGGTATATGCTAAGTGCCCAAGTTTTGATCCTGTAACTGTGGGAATGTAGGTGCGAAGAGTGGTTGTAAATCAGTTTTTTCAACACTGTTGTAACTGAATGGTCCCTAAACGAATTGTTGTTAGTCAAGGACTATTTATATATGTAATCCAAGTCTAAAGCCCCAACATCATTTCATTATTTTTCCCACTTATTTTCTGTCTCACCTTAGATTCAGCATTGGGTTTTAGGTATTGCTGTTTGAGTGTCTTTGTAACAAAAAGCAAGAAATTGCTCAGAGCAAACTATCCATTTGTAAAGTTAACTTTCTTTTACTTGTATGTATCTCAAAATCATAAGGAACTCAAACAAAATGTGCAATCTGCTGTCTCTCAGATGTTTGGATTTCAGCTCATATTAGATGGGTAGGAAAGCCAGTAAAAGAGATCTGGAGATATTTTCCAAAATATTTAGAGGGTACCAAATTCATTGACCTCACTGTGAAGGATTTAAACTTCTGCATTCAGAATGAAAAATCCTTTATTTTTGAAAGCTTGTTTGACCTAAAGACTAGAGTAGATTTCTGTTGCATTGGACCACATGTGGCTATCATTCAGAGATGATTGTACAACAGTGGTGAAATTCAATTTTTTTAACTACTGGTTCTTTGGGCATGGCTTGGTGGGCATAGCAAGGGAAGGAGACTGCAAAATCTCGATTCCCACCCTGCTCCTGGGGGAAGCATATTGCAGAATCTCCATTCCCACCCCACTCTGGGATCACCCAGTGGTGGTATTTGCCGGTTCTCTGAACTACGCAAAATTTCCGCTACCGGTTCTCCAGAACCTGTCAGAACCTGCTGAATTTCACCCCTGTTGTGCAGGTGTCACCCCTGTTATATCGGTGTATTTTAATGTTTCCCATTGAATGTGCCTTCCCTTCTCCCACCTCTCAATGGGAAGTTGGAACCAATCAGCACATGGGGTGCACAACTTCACACTCGGCAGTTGGGGTTCTGGAACTGTTTGAGTCCACCACCTGCAGTATTCTGTTACCCCCACTTTACACATCAAATCTTCACAGCATAGTTATATGGTGACAGCTACAGGCAATTGTGGCCAACTCTAAATCAGCCTATATTCATCCATACATTTATATCTTCTATTTATCAACAGCAATAGCATGCATGCCTGTCAGAGTTTGTTGCAAAAATCAAATCCAGAAAAAACACACGGATGACTGATTCAACAGGATTCATTAACTTCTTTATATATACATAATAACACATGAGTAAATGTACAATACTAACAGCAGATTCTTCCAACATGGTAGAGAAGAGAGACTGTAAGTCAATTCAGAGAGCAGCCTAGACAAACTAGCTTCAATTTCAATTCTCAGCACAGTACTCAGAGCTGCAGGGCTAAACCATGCCCAGGGTCCAAGCTGTTTCAGCTGCAATTGGCTGACCTTGTTACTAAGCCCTATTCATTGGCTGACCTTGTTATCCTGTCTCATTACATCCAGTCCCCAATGGCTGACCTGTTATTATGTCCTATTCCAGTTCATCAATATTTTGACAATGCCCTTCAATGCTTTCTTTGGTTTCATTTAATATTATACATGTTATTTTTTTCCCCTCAATAGGAAGCTTTCTATCAGTAGTCAGAGAGTTAGTCATATTTGTTTCCCCAGGAAACATAATTATCATGCATATTTTATTTATTGATTCACTGGGGAAAATAATTGACTGTTTTCTTTCGATGTAATAATTCTGTAACACTGCCTAAGGCAGTGTTACAGGCAGAGGTAAAGAGCAATCATTTGAATAGTGAGGTGTTTCTCTCTCCCCCCCCCAACTGATTTACTAAGATTTTCTTTTCTGTAGATGTGAGATGCAGGTGAAGCAGCCCTACTGGACTTGTTGCTGTTGGCTTGGAGTCTGTCTGTGGCTCTTAGCTGGAGAAGGAGGATGTGTCTATGAAAAACTCTGTGGAATTGCCCCATGTGGCAGGAATACCAATGGTGGATTACAGCCCAGCAGACAACAGTGTCATGGTGCGCGCTGCTTCAGCAGGTCGAATCGCTCATCTCTTTCTTTCATTCAGCCATCCAGCAAGCAACAACCACATCAGTCTTCTAGAGGCAGCATCCTGGGGCTCTTAGCTGTGACCGGCAGAGGTACAGATGTGATATGCTCTGGAGGAAGGGACTGTCCCAGAAGAATTCTGAATAGCACCATGCAGGACTGCAGAGGCATTGAGTGTCGGCTACCCCTGCACATTCGTCAGAAGCCAAGACCTGCAAGCCAAATCTCTCCATGCCCACCAGATCAAGGGGAACGCTGCCTTGAGCCTACCTCGGCCAGAGTAACTGAGAAGGCAGCACAATTCATTGAGGAAGAGCTTGCCTACACAGCTTCAGAACTTGGTGGTGCTTCTCTTGGTGTTCAGCTCACCTGTGATGTTAAACCAGGTAAGTATTGGCAACTAGTCCCAAAGGTGCTTTTTTCAAGAGGCAACTGGACTTTCTTTTTTTTAAATTCAAGGTCTTTATTTTTTATTACAATTTTTTACGTATTTTATGAACGAAGTGTTGTCTGGGTCTTTTCTTTCACATCCTCTCATATACATCAATCAATCCATTTTATATCATATTTCTATTTCCAATTTCAGCCATATTATTCTCTTTCTATATTTTGTCTTAAACTTATTTTTTCCCCTTAGTACATAAACAGTATCGCTAATCGCCCTAATTCTAATCTCTTACAATAGTACCAACTGCATCGCTAAGTATGTTTCTCAAATTCTCCATTTCACTCTTTTAACATTTCATCTTCATCTCTTGACTTAAATTTTCTTCAAGGTGAAACCAAATGATCATTTCACATTTCATCTGTTGGTCTGTTTAACTATATGCAACATACACCCTCAAGTTCAATTTTTACATAGAGAACACTTAACTAAGAGGCAACTGGATTTTCTGTTTTTTTTTTTTAAGACATTTCATTTCTCATCCAAGAAGCTTCTTCAGCTCTGACTGGATGGTGGGAAGTGGAAGGATTTATACTCCTTGCAAACAGCTGGCCATTTGCATTCTTTTAGTGGGTCGTTAACAAAAATGGGTTCCAGATCCTGTTCCAACCGGCATGGTTGGAACGGGTCTGGCATCACCCACATGGATGTGCCTAACGTACACATACATCGTACCTGCCTGCGACGCCTCTGCAAGGCGCCGCAATGCTCCAGTTGCTCGTCAGAGTGTCTCGCAGGCACCGTACATGCCATGTGCACGTAAGTGCCAAAGGCTTAAAGGACAGGTAAGGAGCTCGGGCAGTTGGGTGGGCCCTCTGGGGCACTGTACCAGAACTGTACCCGGTGCTCCAGCCAGGCTCTGGTATGCCTGTACCAGGACTTACTGCCTGCAACTCATCACTGATCATTAAGGTCATCTGGATGTTTATCTGTGTCATCAGGGTCACCTGACTGGTGTAAATTAGTGTGGAGCCTCCTTGGAACTGTTGAAAGAACTGTGTTGCAGACACTGTTTCCTACAACACGGTCCTTTCAACGGTTCCAAGAAGGCACTACGTCAATTTGCACCATGACCTGGATGACTGAGAATCTCCATAGACAGTTGGCAACTAGTATTGATCCATTTAGCAAGGTAGGACTGATTGGCTGCAGCATATATCAATTGGAACAATCTCCCCATGGAGATCCGCACCTTCACCACCACCCAGGCCTTCCGCATGGCCCTTAAGATCTGGCTATCCCGTCAGGCCTGGGGATAAAAAATCTTAGTTCGTCCCCTCCCGAATGATGAATGAATGTTGTGCTCTATTTTTAATATTATGTATTGTCTTATGTTTTTTGTCTTTGTACCCCCTTCCCCGTGTTTTGTAAGCCGCCCTGAGTCCCCTCAGGGAAAAGGGCGGCCTATAAATTATAATAAACATTCTAAACATTCTAAACATTCTAAACATATCATTGTACAATGAATAACTTTAAATATCAGTTCTGGTCACAAGAAGGCATGTTCCGTGAAAAATACCCAGATATATTATGGCCATAAGAAACATTTAGTTCCAGCCTTTTTACATTAAAAAAATGTCAGGCATGAAAGACTAGGATCACACATGAATCTCCAATTACTACTCATGTCCATTAATAGTAATCTAGTCAACTAACAGCACTATTTTGGTGCTGGATAAAGGAATTCAAAATTCAAAAAGCACTAAGTCCATTTGTGATTATATAGAGATTTGAGGCTGATTCCTATTTTATCTCCACCCCCAGGGTCTGCCACTCTTTCTCCTCCCCAAAAAATATTTCAAATTAAAATATAAATATTTTTTTCTCTGTCCAAAAAGTTGAAGATGAGAATTAGCATTTCTTGGGCCAATTTAATGACAGGCCAATTTCCTCCAAAATAGTAATATGAATAACAGGGAGGGCAAACAGAAAGAAAAAACATTCCTTTTTTGTTTTCATGTCATACTCTGCAAGTTTAATAGGCCTCACGAGCCTCAAACCAATGTGGTAGGTTTTCTTTGCAGCAAGATGCTCATTCCAGTTTGCCTCTCCCTATTAATGTTAGCCTAAGTGAGTAAAAATTTTCTATAATCTTGACGCCTTTAGATAGGCTCAAAGTTAAAAGTCTGTGCTACAAAAATATGATTGTTTGATTGAATGGTTATTCAATCATTATTTATTATAGCAAAGAAATAAAGAAAACTCTGATTCCATGTTTTGGTCATCCCAATTCTTGCACCTGAAATCCAGCAACTATAGATTATAGTTAGAATTTTGAGCCCATGTGGCCAACCTTAATTTAACACCTCTAAAGAATATCACTTTGAATTGCTAAGACTCTCCTCCAATCACATGACCCTTGACTTTACAATCACAACTGGCACCAGAATGTCTGTTACTAAGCAAGGTCGCTGTTGAGTCATCCCCAATTGTATGACCATTTTTTGCCACAGTTATTAAGCAAATTACAGTGCTGTTAAGGGATCCAACTTCCCCCATTGACTTTGCTTGTTGGAAGCAGGCTGGAAAAATCACCAATAGCAATCACATAACTCTAGGATACTGCAATTCTGGAATGCTTTAACATTCATAAATAGGTGCCAGTTGCCAACTGCCCAAATTTTGATCATGTAATCATGGGGTTGCTGCAACAGTTGTAAGTGGGAGGGCAGTTTGCAAGTCATTTTTTTCAGTGCCATTGTAACTTTGAACTATTGCTAACCAAATGGTTGTAAATCAAGGATCACTTGTAATTGTGGTGATACAATAGAATAGGGCTGTAAAACTCACAGCCCCTGTGCTGGAAGCATCACACTTCTGAGGCCATACCCACCCCCAATTTAGTAAAGGGGGGAAAAGTCATGATTTGTCATGTGATGTCACTGTGACACTGCGAGTTTGACTCCCCTGCAATAGAGATAGTTCCTTGAAAACAGGCCAGTCAAAAAAAGGTTGCTGAGGCTGGACAGAGCCACCTCTGTATTTGAAGAGACCAGTGGTAGATTCCGGATCCCTTTGCAACTGGTACAGTCTAACAGGGCCCAGCGTCCACCATATGAACGTGTGCAGCACACGCATGTGTCCTTATCTCCTGCGATGCTCTGTGATGCCTCCACAATGCTCTAGCTGCTCAGCAGAGCATCACGCAGATGCTGTAAGCGCTGAAGAGCTCAAATACAGGTAAGAAGGGCAGGCGGGTGGGTGGGCCCTCTGGAGCACTGTACCGGAACGGTACCCAGTGCTCCCGGCAGGCACCGGTATGCCCGTACCGGGGCGTACTGCCTGCAAACCACCTCTGGAAGACTCTTAGCAAACATTATGTAGACTTAGTGGGCTCCTGTATGCTAGAATATTATTTAGTACAGCAGCAATATTACAATATGCCAATATCTGAATTTGTTACACGAGTGTTCTATGGGAATTTAGGAAAGAAATTAGGATATTTTATAAGAAGATTGGAGGCATTATGGTAAATGAAACCAGTAAGAGAAGCTGTGCATGTTTTAATACCGGATTGTTTGCATGTTAGGAGGTAATGAAGTTCCATCTGAGGATGCACTTGTGCTCCAACTACAGCTTACAAAAGGCCAAGAACAGTTTGTTGAAACACTAAAAAGTCAGCAGGCAATCATTGTGGATTTGCAGCAAAAACTTACAGAGCAGCAGGATGCATTAGTTACCCAGCAGCGGGAAATTATTCTGCAACAAAGAAAAATGTATGAACAAATGGATCTGATCAAAGTTCAGTACGGCATGCTTTTTGACACAGTGAAGCAAATGTCATTTAAGGGTTTGCAAGAGGACATCCAGCATTACTTTGAGGCTAATCTTCAAAACCTGCAGAAGGAAGTCAGAAATCATCTCCAGAAGTCCTATTCTGGGCATAAACTAAACGTGGATGCAAAAATGATTGATATTGGAGAAACTTTAATGGAGTGTGGCTTTTGTGAAAGTGATGAATTTTGCAATTTTCAGAAGACACCATCACAATGTGAAAAATGTACCTTGTGTCCTGCTGGCTTTTTTCAGCTATTGGATTGTTCCACAAATGCAGATCGAATATGCCAGGTGAGCTATTATTATATTCTAAATTTAAATAGTAGCCTTTTTAGGAGTTAAGTTTGGCCCTATATGCATTTCACATAAGTACTGTATTTTTCTGACTATAAGATGCTCTGGAATATAAGACGCACCAAGATTTCGAAGAGGAAAAAAAAAAGGTCTTCCAAACTCTCTGTGCGCCCCGTTTTTGTGAAGGTGGGGTTTGGGAGGTCAAAAATGACCGTATTCAGACACACTGATATTTCCACTCTTTTTTGGGGGGGTGTATCTTAATGCAGTACATAGATGTGTATACCTTGATCTTTGACATAGGCTATTTACTGTTTCCACAACTTTCAAAAGGACCTGCTCTCTGAGCAGATGACATTGGCAATATTTACAGCATTGGTAAGTACTGGTGTTAGTCAAGGTAATGTTAGTTATGGTCACTGTGGGATTCTAAAAAGTGATAAAATCCAAACATCTGGTATTGTTCTACATATGGGCTCAGAAGAAACGAGGGCCCATATGTAGAACATAACCCTGATGTGGCCCTTTCATTGAGGGCCACATCAGGGTTATGTTTGACTTTGGGGGGCCAGGGTGGGCGTGGCAGTGATGGGTGTGGCCAGTTTGACATCACTCGTGTCGAGGGTGCCTGTGGTAGCCTGAGCACTCTGCCAGCAAAAACGGACTCCCAAGGTCCATTTTTGGCTGCACCATCATCCTGCAAACATCTGCCAGCGAAAATGGATATGTTTGAGTAAGCTCAGAAGCAGTGAATTTAACAAGGGATTCTATAACAAACAAAGTGACATTGAAATGCCAACATGTATTATGATGATTTGTATGATGTAGTTATGAAATGAGGTCTGACACAAGTAAGTAGTATAACTTATGCCATCATATCATAATCCACATATCATTTCTCTCACTTCTTCCCACTCCCCACAGATGCCTTCAAGAATATTTATATGCGGTAAGGAAACAATTGAAAGAGATAATTCAATATCCAAGTTATGAAAGCTCTAGCTAATCTTTTTGGTGATATGAAATAGATTTCTAGTAGGTGGTGTGAAGAAATAGGTCTGGAAGTAATTACTTTGATAATAGATTTGGAATATCTCCAATAAATGGATGGCTAATAGACTTCATAACTATTTTTTCCATGCAATTAACCACTCCTGCATGGGCATGGAAATGATCTCCTAGATATTGTTGTTCCACGTGCCTCCGATAGCATGGCCAGGGGTAGAGAGGGCTGAGAAGGCCATAAATCTTGTCAGACAAGCTTCCAAAACATTGCTGGGTTTACTTAAAACTGAAACATAGTAAGGAATAGAAGCAATTATAAATATTTTAGCTACCGTAAGTTTTTCTTCTTCAGATTTTCTACACATAAAGCAAAAATCCTCAAAGGTAGTACGGATTGAGGAAAAAGTTTTACTCACTGTCTGAATTTCATCTTTTCTGAGGCTAAAGCAGGGACTACTTGCATGTTATTTTAAGATTTATCTTGCAAATCCAAAGTGGCATCATTGGGTCATTGTACGATCCAATATGATGTGGCATTACGATATTGTTATATTGGTGAGATGATCCATGATGTCTGGGGTAACATTTACTAATATTAGGATCATATTTTTTTTTAAAAAAACCAACAGATAACACAATTGTTATCATTTGTTGAAAAGACACAAAAGTAGTGAAGGCAAAAAGAAGTAATTTGAGTAGATCAAGAGGGTTTTCTTTTAAGATCTCACAGGAATTATAAGGAAGAAAATTGAAAGGGATAGGAATTGGTTTTAAATTTATGCAACAAAAAAGACTAGACAAAATAGGTTTTCAGTCCCGAAGGTAGAGTGTAATTATAGAATTATTGGAAAAAACATTAGATCATTTGCATCTTTTATTCAAATTATAAGAGAACAGTAGCACTGATGTATGTTTTTTTACTATCTGTAATAGTACATGTATAATGTTAGAAGTGTACTGCATAATTAATTTAAATATATCTAATAGAGGCTTTTCCAATCTGGTGTTTTTTGGGTAGGTTGGACTTTAAGGTCAACAAACCTGGAATGTACAACTAGAATTTTATCAGTTTAGAGTTAAGAGATGCATATATAGAGGTGATTTTTTTTGTTCATTTGGGTTATTTTTGTGGGGGGAAACACTGAATTGAATATGAATTTGAATCTATTCCTCACAGGATAAAGATGAATGCACCCAATTACCAAGTATCTGTGGAGAAAGAATGAAATGCCTGAACACACCAGGTAATGAGTGACAAAAACATTTTTTGTCTCATAGTCTTCTTTTACAGTATATACCATATTTTTCGGAGTATAAAATGCACATTTTTCCCTCAAAAAAAAAAAAAGGTTGAAAATCTGGATGCGTCTTATACAATGAATACAGCATTTTTTGCCTCCCGAAACCTCTCCCCTTCACCAAAATGGCCGTGCAGGGCATGGAAAGCCTCTAGGAAACTTTTAGAGAGTTGGGGCTGGGGAGGGCAGAAATAAGTGAAAAACAGCCAATTTTTGCTCAATTTACTTTCCCCCAGCCCCCAAGAGCATTCTATAAGCTTCCTAAAGGCTATCCATGTCCCCCCCTTTTATTCCAAAAAACAGGCAAGTTTTCACAAAAACCGGGCTGTTTTTTTGCTCGTTCTTGCCTCCTCCCCACTTGCAAGAACACTCTGCAAGCCTCCTAAAGACTATTCATGCCTTTTTTTGGGGAGTAAAACGGGCCTGTTTTCGCAAAAAAATGGGCTGTTTTGGGGAGGTTTGCAGAGTGCAAAAACCTTTTTTTTATTTGCCTCTTCAAAACCTTGGTGCGTCTTATACTCTGAAAAATATGGTATCTAACAATTCTGAAGTTTAGTTTTCCCTTAGTTTGATTGGAATCAATGGAACTGCAGATGGCCAGGACTGATTTGTCTTGGTGATTTCAGTGGCACTAACGTCCATCTTAATTTTGGTTCTTAATCCGTGTCAGCTGTGCAGAAAATGATTAAGTATGATAGGAAAATGATTTGTTTACAGGCCCAAAGAAGTGCCAAATTCTGGTTTTAATGGAAACTGTTAAATAACATGCGTGTAATATAGATTAATTATAATCCTGTTCTATGATTTCCCTACAGAAGTTGTGGATTTTCCATCTTTTGAGATATTTAAAATGAGACTGGGTCACTACCTCTAAAGGATAGTTTAAAAGTAGTCCTCAACTTACAACAGTTTGGGCCTGTAAAATGAGGCTTCTGACTGAATTATCTTTTCTTCTTGTGAATAGGAGGATTCCGCTGTTTTGGAATGGCAGAAAAAGAGGCTGCTCTGGGGTTGTGTGGAGAGGAATATTTTTTTAATAAAGAGCAGCAGGAGTGCCAAGCCTGTCTCGTGTGTGATGATGGAACGGTTATTCTACCTTGTTCGCTTGTGAGCGATACAGTTTGTTCAACAGCTGTTGAAACCCTTCTGTCTGAGACATGGGCTGCAGATACAGCTTTACCCTTGTCTGGCTCATCTCAGATCTACCCTGGATTTAAGCTGAAGTTGAAAGAAAAACAAGGATGCAATATGGGTACCCTTGAAGAAGGCAGCTTGGTGTTCAAAGACCATGGCTTAATATGGGCCGATTTCAATTTTGCTGTGAAACATAACTGCAGAAATTTCCTCCACCTTTCCTTAAAATTCAAGGACAGTGAAGAAGGCTATGAACTAAGTGGAGTTCGTATTGAACAACCAGAAGTCAAACTGTTTCAGAGTGCCAGTGTGAGTTGTGCTGCAGAAGTAGAGCCAAGCCAAACCCTTTCAATATTTTTGAAGAGCCCTAATCAATTCTGCAACCAAAGTAAAGATTTAGACATATATAATCTTCAAACCCCTCTCAGCTTGTTTTGGTTATCTCATGATACAGGAGCTGTAGCCATGACTGCACAAATAATGACCGCAGTTCACTATCAGACAAATTATCAACCGACCTTTAAATTTGTTTCTCTTTCTGACTCTTATATGCTAACCTTATGTCATGATGGTAGAGCCATCAAGTTTACTGAAACGGGGGTTGTGAAATTTGTTTTTCAGCAAGCTCTGTATTCCATGGGTCACACCTGCATTCATGAGGGTTTCAGTATGGTGGTTTATCTGAACAAAAATGGAACTAATGCAGAACTGATGACGGTTTATAAATCTGGTGTCAATTACAGAGATACTTCAATCTCCGTTTCTGGAGCCACCAAAGTCAGTGCTGGGGATCTAATGAGCTTTGAGATCCTTTCTCCTGCCCAATGCAGCGTTCGTTATTTTGGAGACAGCTCTGGAATTAGTACACTCAGCCTCATCTGGCTTCCATCTGCTATTTCTACTGCATTGTCTGCCAGAGTCTCTGTAATAGGATTGCCTACAGGAGCTGTCAGAAACAAACTTTTGGATTTTGTACAAGTCTCAATCTATGAGAAACAGATCTATTTAATATCTGCTGGACAATTTGCCCAAAAATACTTTGTGTTTACAGAAGAAGGAATTGCTAGCATTGTGTTCACTTTAAAATTAATTCATTCATGCAATATGCTCCGGGTAACTTTAAATCAGCATATCAGTGATAATGCCCCTCTTAACATAATTGCTCAACAAATTGGAGGCCAAGTACCTGAAGGTAGCATCTGGGCCAGTGTTAGCCTTCGTTCCTCTTTCAAGGTTCACAATGGAACCATGATATCTGTATCGCTAGATTGCGTGCGTGGCAGAATTAACCACATTGCTCATGAATATGGAACAAGCTTATCTATCTTATGGATATCTTCATAGCTTTGCTAGGAGGACTTTTAAAAGAAACTTTGAAGATTGAAGTAAATGGGTTGCGTCTATTGGATAAAACCCAATTTGGTGCCTTTCAGAAGTGTTGGACTACAACTCTCATAATCTTCCAACTATGGGACTCAGAATTTTCAGTCTAGTGTACATGAAAGGACCAAGACTGAGAAAGCCACAATTCCCTTACTTTTCTGAGCTGCATGTAATTTGTATCTTTATGTTTTGTTGCATGAAGCAAATTAAACAGTCAACCTTTTGATAATACTGATTGATTGAATGAGTGAGTGATTGATAGAAAATGAGAATTGTGAGTGAACCAAAGATATCATCTCTACTGAGTTTCTGTTGGATGTTCTGGCCATCCTATGAGCTCTTGGGCTGGGAAAATATTGAAAGACTATATGTCATCATTAACTACTTCCTTGTTGGACAAATCAAGGGAGTAAGAGAAAAAAAGTAGGAATATTCAATGCTGCATCAACTGATCCACCCAATTTTCACACTCCCTGCAGGTCATCCTTTTAGCAATTTCCATCCAACTATCTGCTTTGCCCATCACTGCCTAGTATCATTCTCCTCTTCCTCTCCTGACATGACATCAAGCTGAGGGAACACTGAGAAACTCATCCTAGCTACCACCTGGCTATCATTCCGCATATGAATCATGAGCAAAGAAGTACTTTCACTGTCCTTTTAAGGGAAGTAAATACAGAAGAAAAGCAATAGTGAAGGAGACAATCTTTCCCTACTTCAACAAACCTCACCGGTAGCCTAATACAGGGAGTGGGAGCAAGGATATGGCAAAAGTACGTAACTGAGTTGAAACAAATTCATTGCACCTAGGCTATACAGTATACCAGTGGCCCCAAAAAGAAGGGCAGCAGATACCTCTCATGGGTTCCCAGAAGTGCATGGCAATTAACTGCTGACCTGGTACCTAGAATCCAGGGATTTTGCATGCAAAGCATCTAATCATCTCCACCAGCTTTAGATGCAACAGCATTCAAAGCACTCTTAACAAGTAGCTTAAGGTCATCTTCTGGCAACAGTCACTGTGATGCACAAATCAATAAGCCATAAGTACATTTTTAACCAAACCAAATCATATTCTAGAAACAAGAAAGTTGTACTAATAACGTCCTCGTGTCCTCAAATGCCTGCTCAACTATTATACACTTTTGTTGTGAAGTGCAGGAGAAATGGTGAGAAATCACCAACTGTGCCTGAAACGCACACTTCCACAATAACAAGGTGATCATCCAATTCAAGAGAAGAAGCTTAAAACACCTGATTTTTGTGGTAACCACCTGCACCGAGGCCCATAAAGTGGCCCATAAATTCATCCCAACCTACAGCACTGTGCTGTGATAGTACTTCCTTTTTCTAACACTGGACTACATTAGTTGAGTATAACGTTTCAAATACATGGAATCAAAGCCATCTTACTGAGTCCAGAGGAAGAACCAACCCACATTAAACCCCTGACCCATTTATTCTCCACCTTCACATTAACTATCAAGTAAACCAGCACTCAAACCATCCTGTGGAATATCTTTCATGCCGTGAATTTCTGCACCCCCTTCCCTCCGGATGAAATGTACCGTATTTTTCAGAATATAAGACACACCTTCCCCCCCACCCCCGCAAAAAAGAGGGTGAAAATCTGGGTGTGTCTTATACACTGAAATGGACGTGCAGAGAGTTTGGAAGACCTGCAAGCAAAAAATAGGCCGTTTTTTGCTTGTTTTTGTCCCCCTCCCCCCACAACCTCCAGGAGCACTTTGCAGGCCTCTCAAACTCTCTACATGACCCATTTTTCACAAAAAATGAGGCATGCAGAAACTTTGGGAGGTCTGCAGAATGCAAAAACATTTTTTAAAAATTGATCTTCAAAATCTTGGTGCGTCTTATACTCCGGTGTGTCTTATAGTCCAAAAATACAGTATGTCTTTGCTAAGATTGAAGATTTGAGGGGACATAATAAATATAAAGAGCACAATCAATACAAAGCCTGCACATATATGTAGACGCAACTACCAGCCTTAAAATTATTCTCTTGCTTTTTTCCTGCTTTTCTTGGTTAACACATGTTGCAGCTGTTTCCCCCGATAGTCTTCTTTCCTAGCATAATGGTTATAATACTTGTCTTGAATGCAGAATATCTCTAGTTTGAAACCCAGCAGACGGGTATTTTTAATTACTATTTTTCTTCAGTATCTACTGCTTCTGCTAGGCTGTTTGCCAATGAATGGTGCATTTGTGGACTTGATACAAAAAAATATTTTTACTTGTATTGTGGCATAACTCAGCAGATATTTTCCCAGTATTATTAAGACATAGAAATGTATAAATATCCAAATACTTTCAGTCAGGAGGATAGTGGTTGACTGTCATCTCCATGGCAGTTAGTGGTGACTTCAAGGCATTTCCCTCCCTTGGACAGAAGCAACATAAAATGATGTGACATCTTGCTGCTACGTTTAGTTTCAAATCTGCTCCAAAGTTTGCAAAACGTCAGCATGTATTTCTTTTCTCCCACGGCTTTACCCCAGAGTCCTTTCACCAACAGACAGTAGCAGTGAAAGCCAAACTAGGAATACCAAAGTAGTTTGCCACAGCCCCCTTCTGGGATGTTCTTTTGAATTCCCAGTTAAGTCTAGAGCAGTGTTTTTCAACCTCGGGCACTTTTAACTGCGTGAACTTCGAGTCCCAGAACTCCCAGAATTCTAGAAGTTGAAGTCCACACAGTTTAAAGTTTCTAAGGTTGAATAACACCAATCTAGATGTAGAGTCCTGAAATTTCTCAGCAGGCTTCTGTCCAGTTTCTAAGTATGGCTTGTGGGCTACTAACCTGCTCATAATAAAAGATTTGATTTCTGCACGATGTAATTGCAGTTGAGCTCCCATATTGGGACCTTGAGAGTCAAAAGCTGCCATCTGTTACATGTCTTCCTGACAGTAAAACCACAAGATTATTAAATAGAATCATGAACTTTGTGTTCCTGAGATGTTGAGAAATCAGTTGTCCACACCCTCCTCACTAACAATTGCTTTCAGCTCCTTGGAAGGTATAAATGTTATATCCTATTTACTTGCTTAAAAAGGTTCCCCCCCCCGCCAATACTCTTCTACTGAGTTGCTTTAAACCTTAAGTAGCTCACAAGTGTCTGAGAAATAAAACATTAGTACACTTTTGACAACAGTATCTAGGTACTGTTTTTTGCTTGATTATCCTTCAGACTTCATGTAATTTCTTCCATAATTGCAGACAAACAACAGCAGCCATAAACAACAATAGGTAAAACAATTAAACTTATTTAAAGGGAGCTAAAAGGCAACACAATTTATGTTCTTAATTATGTGTTCATTCCAACAGTTAATTTCCTGTTAATTCTGAAAAGGAATTCAGCAATATTCAAGACGTAGTATTTCATCCATTTAGAAAGCCTTTGCCTAGGAGCCATCTGACTGCCATCTAAAGGTTGCCGGATTCATTATTTCAAACTAATCTTTCTTTAAAGACACCCCTGTGAGGTCTTAATCACTTCAAAGCAAATAAGACCAACAGATGATTTAACGTTCTAGGCACATATGAACTCAAGATTGTATAACCCTTGGCTGAGGGGAGAATAAAGGACCTCAGGGAATATGAACAGATTGCAAGCAGAGGAAGAATACAGGTGTTTTACATCAGACAAAAAAATCATTTTGGAAGTAGGAGAAAGATTTAGCTGGTATTTCAAAATATTTTACTTAAGGAAAAGATTTATTGTATTAAGAAAGAAAAGAACAGAGATAGAATGTTTATCTTAGGGCCAATGGGAGAAGTATTTGAAGTGCATTTCATTTTCTTTTAGAAAAAAACATTTCTGGAATGACTCAGTACTACAAATGCGTGGGTGATTTTAATACAATACCGCTGCTTTTGTATTTCTGCAACTATGTTTCAATATGAGGTTGTGCTATTTGATGCCATACCTGCAAGAGAAGATGTGATGAAGTAGGACAGGGGTGTAGAACTGGCGGCCCACAGGCCAGATACGTCACATAGACGTCACACCCAGCCCAGCTCTGCAAAGGCAAGAAACATCGCAATACGTCATGTGACATCAACATGACGTGGCAAGTTTGGCACCTGTGAAGTAGAACATCTAAGTCAAAGTTTCTCATACTTCACAACTTTTAAGATGTGTAGACTTCAACTCCCAGAATTCCATAGCTTGGTGAGAAATTCTGGGTGTTGATATCCACACATTTTAAAGTTGTCAAGTTTGAGAAACTGACCTACTGGGGAGATTACATTGCTAAGCAGAGGCATCAGTTTCTCCTGTACTCTGTGCAGGTCAAAAATTTGGCTTCTCATTGGACTAATGTTTAATATCGCCTGGCACTATAATATTAATGAAAGCTTTACCCAAAGCTGTAATTTAAGAAGTCTGTTTTTGTCTCCCTGGAATGTTATTGTTGCGAATGAAAAATCTTCCCCTTTCCACCTTTTTCTACGTTTTTCTACTGTTGGCATTTTTTCCTATTACCCCTATGTGCCAGAAAACATGGTATATTGTTTGGAGAGATTAAAACAGGTGTATGAATGCCAGTTATCAATGTTTCTTTTGGTGATTGGAGGAATGCATTTTGAGATTGACATAGTTCCGTGATGGCGAAGCTAAGGCACATGTGCCCGAAGTGGCACGTAGAGTCATGTTGTCTGGCACACACGGTGTCACCTGTTCCTCTTCCAGGTTTCTGGCACGCATGTGTGCGTGGCGATCAGCGAAGAGCTGGTCTTCTATTTTCCGGTGTGAACATGCGTGCCGGCCAGCTGATTGTTGCATGTGCATGCATGTCAGTAACAGGAAGTTCATTGTCCTGCGCACACATGCCCCCTGGGCAGCTCCTCTTGCAGGGTTGTGCACCAGACAAGTGTGCAAAGCATGCACGCTCTCTCTCCCTTTTCGGCATTTGGTGCCAAAAAGGTTTGCCATCACTGACAT